GTTGATGAGGGTAGCACTATGAATGTGGGTATACATTTATTTCCAGAAGGCATTCGACACAGTGCCACACAATAGATGTGTGAGGAAAGTTACAGGTCATGGTAAAAAAGAAACAGGAGCAACCTGGATACAAAATTGGCTGAGCGATAAGAAACAGAATAATGTTCGCTGGATATCTTTCAGGCTCAAGGAAGGTTTGCAGTGGATTTCTCAAGGGGTCGGTATTGGGAGCCTTGCTTTTCCTGATATATATACTAATGGTGTGTAGTTGGCAATTTCAAAGTTGAAGATTACACTATACTTGGAAGAATTGTAAACTCTGAGGAGGACAGTATGGAACACCAAAAGGACATTGACAAGTTGGTGGAGTGGGTGGATAGGTGGCAAATGAAGTTCAATGCAGAGAAGTGTGAGATGATACAATTTAGTCACAAGAACATTGAAGATAAGGTAAAATAGAGGGTATAATTCTAAAGAGAGTGCAAGTGCAGAGGGACCTGGTTGTTTATGTGCACAGACTGTTGAAGGTCACAGGATAAGTGGAGAGAGCAATTAGTAAAGATTTTATTAACAGGACCACAGTGAACAAGAGCAAGAAGCTAAGTTAAACTTGTGCAAGACACTTGTTAGACATTAACTGGAGTATTGTGTATACCAGTTGTGGATACCACATTATAGGATTGATGTGAATACAATGGAGCTAGTGCAGAACTGATTTACAAGAAAGGTTCCAGGAATGAGAAACTTCTGTTAAGAGGATAGATTGAAGAAGTTGTGGAGTCTTCTCCTTGAAGAGAAGGCTGAGAGGAGATTTGACAGAGGTTGTCCAAATCATGAGTGGGCTGGATAGAATAGATAGGGAGAAGCTGTTCCCGCTCATAAAAGTAAACAAAAAACTATTGAGCATAGATTTAAAGTGGCATGCGAATAAAGCAAGAGTGATGTGAGAAAAAAAATTTCACACACCGAGTAGTTACAGTATGGAAGGCACTGCCTGGAATTGTGGTGAGGCAGGTTCAATTGAGGCATTCAAGAGAGTATTGGATGAATATTTGATTGGAAACAGTGTGCAGGGATATGGAGAAAAAGGTAGGAGATTCGCACTAGGTAAACGAATCAGTTAGACAGAATAAGTCGAATAGCCTCCTTCTGCATGGTAACAATTCTCTGATTCTGTGGAAAGTCGGGTTATCTATAGTTTTAGGTGACATGGATGGATGCTGAACATTCTATGTGTCCTCAGAAACCAGAACACCTACTTTGTTGCTGAAGTTCAAGAAATTACCAGATTGCTTTCTCTTGACAGGGGATTAAGTTGTTCTTTTAAATAGGTGCAGAAAGTCTGAGCAGTGCTTCGTTCCTGATGTCATTGAGGTAATACATAGGTGCTTTTCAATTTAAGAGAGTAACTGTAACACTAACAGCAAGAGTAATAATAATTGTTGTAGATAGATCTGCTTTTTCGTCATTCTTCACTGTCAATGCAGGTTTGAGAGTGTCACTATACATACACAGTTGCTTCTGAGCCATGCTTCTAATTACTGAATGTTGGTTCCTTCAAATATGAGGAGGCAGTGGTGTAGTGGTAATGTCACTGAATCAGAAATCTGAAACCCCTAAATTTGCGCATATTTTGGCAACTTGGTAGATGATGCAATATGAACTAAACAAGAATCTGGAATAAAAACCTAGCCTGATGGAAACCATGAAGGCACTGCTGATTGTTGTTAAAAACCCATCTAGTTCACTAATGCCCTTGAGGGAAGGAAATCTGCTGTCCTTGTCTAGTCTGGCCTACATGTGACTCTACACCCACAGCAATGTGACTGACTCTTAACTGCCTTATGGATAATTATGGATGGATGATAAATACCTACCACGACACACATGTCTCATGAATGAGTTTAAAAATAAACTTACTCTTGCGTTGAGTGTTTGCCAGGTAGTTTGCTTGGTATGGATAGTACCATCTGCCAAATAACCTTCTGAGAAATGAGAGTTTTTCTCTCTCTGAGTTCCCAGAGCCCTCCAACTTCATACACATGCACATATTCGCATGTGTAAATTAAATGAAAGATAAATGCAATATTAATTTAGTAAGGAAATTCAGGTGCAACTCATAATTGCATACAAGAAAACTGCACCAAACAGTTAAATGCACAATTTCCTAATGAACTAATTACCTTTTATACGTGAGGATGTACTTTATAACCATTTAAATGTCTACATCATTACAATTTCATCAATATGGAAAATTGTTGTTTGATTATATTAGCATATATACATGATTAATTTGTATCTTGTTTCTTGTATTTTGTTTAGGAACATTTTTGATTGGAAAACTATCAGTTAAACTAATTGATGAAAAATCCTCTCCACATTTAAACTTCTATCTGGAAATTATTCTTAATTTAAAAGCAATATATAACGGATGCTCAAAATTGGAAACAAAAACAGAACATGCTAGAAACACTCAACAGATCTGCAAAGAGACAAATAGGGTTACTGGGTAGAATTTTATATCCTGTAAAAATGATCATGTGGTGACTATTGCTGGGTCCCAACTCTGCACTTGCAGCAATGTGTCTCCAAAAGGTGAGAACCCACTCATTAAGAAGAGTAGGTTTGTTCCAAGGCCCAGTTGCCATGGAAGAACAGGAGTCCTACTGGGCTCTGCTGCTGCAGGATGGGAACTGCAAAGGTACAGTTATAGAATCATAGAGTTGTACAGCACAGAAAGAGACCCTTTGGTCCAACTTGTCTATGCTGATCACGCTTCCCAAGCTAAACCAGTTACATTTGCCTGTATTTGGTCCATATCCCTCTAAACCTTTCCTATCCATGTACCTATCCAAATGTCTTTTAAATGTTGTAATCATACTTGCCTCTTCCACTTCCTCTGGCAGCTCGTTCCATACACGCACCACCCTTTGTGTGAAAATGTTGCCCCTCAAGTCCCTTTTAAATCTTTGCCTCCCACTTTAAACCCATGCCTCTAGGTTTGGACCCCCTACCCTGGGGAAAAGACCATGGTTTTTCACCTTATCTCTGCCCCTCATGATTTTATAAACCTCTATAAGGTCACCCCTCAGCCTCCTACTCACCAGGGAAAGAAAGGGTCCCAGCCTATCCAGGGGTGCCTACTGAAGAGATATTTACTTTTTAAAAATTAAACCGTGGCTATGGCTGTCAGGTGACATCAGTGGAGGGGAAACACATTGATCCCTGCTCCTGCAGTAAGGTGGGTGGGGAATGAGGATAGGGGATTGTTAGTGGTCCTGTGGGAGTCCAGGCCAGTTTCTGGTCAGGAAGCCCATTCACTGTTGGAACGGTCTCAGTGGTCATCCCTCATCTGCCATTATTGGATGTTTCAGATAGGTAACTTGATGCTGCCAGGTAGGTAGTTACTGTCTTTGATGACCCACCTCCAGCAAGACTGAGTAGGCATCAGGTTGCTGACAAAACACCCCTGGATTCAAATTTTCTTCTGATCCCACCTTCAAGCCTGCTTCGAAAGGGCCAGGAAGATTCCACCTAATGTTTCAAAGCAATGCCCTGCCATCAGATCTAGGAAAGGTTAGAGACGTGACAGGTTTTAAGCAAGTGAAAGTGGGAAGAGTGAGAGCAAGAAGAAAAGGAAAGGTTTATGACAAGGGAGAAGGCAGGAGGATTGATTTGGTGAAAGAGTTGATGCTGCAATGGGATGCTGCCTGACATGCTGAGTAAGCTAGATTCAGCCTGCTTTTTTTTTAATTAAAAATGCACGATGGGTTGATGCAAATAAATTAGCACAAGTTTCATATGAGGGGTATTCGAGCCGAACAGGAACCTCGTGCCAGAGAACGCATTGAGAATGGACCTACTTCTGCATTAATGGAAAAAAGGCTTTTACTCTACTTAATATCTGAGCATTAAGTATCTGCTGTCTTGAACAGCCCATCAGTCACTCACATTCTTGATCGTTGTTTTATACAAATAACGCCTTGATCTGTTTCCATTTCAAAATTGAAATGGAATAGCATCATGTGATTTTAAATGAAAGTGGTATGTACTGGTGAGGGATGTGGCAAATCATGTGATGAGAGCAGACAGGAAGTCAACACATGCGCTGTTGTTTCAATGGGGCCAAAGGGGTGGAGTGCTACTTGCAAAGGGTATTCGAACAGGCATTTATTCCCAAACCAAGAATGTCATTTGAACTGTCTGAGTGGCTTTCGGGAAGTGCAACTGCTAGCACATCCTCTCCAGCTGTCAATCATGAATCCCTCCTATGTCTGCGTGCAGACTAGCCCAGAGTTGCTGCAGTTTCTCCTCCAGGATATCTGAGAAAGGCGGGAGCTTCTGTTTACCTGGGTTAACAGCAGAAAGCCCTCCCTTCTGACCGAGGTGACCTGAACAGAGGCTGCTATGCAAATCAGCAACAGCCGGGCCCGTAGAGGGACCTGGGTGCCGTGCCAAAAAAAGCATGAATAAACTGCTGCATCAGCAAAGGTTAAGTATCAGTGTGTCATGACTGAAGAATGAAAAGTAAATTAAGCAAATGTGCAAATGCACAGGATTGTCAGAAGGGAATTTGGGCTTCAAGCTGTGATGTCAGATGGAACTTGTACACAATGTGGTTGTCAACTACCTGCCAGAGATGGCTCAGGAGCTGTGTGCACTCATAACGTTTTTATGTATCTGTCAGGAAGACACTCAATCCCTCCGTTCGTCTGCAAGAAAAAAAAGATCATCATTGGAGAGAGCTCTATATAACTGAGGCAGAGCCACCTGATACTTGAGTCCTCAGCCCCTGTAGGGAGGAGGCTGCCGAGCTTACTGGGGCGGACCAGGACTGAGCATGCACCGATGGAGAGACCAGAGTCTCTTCGGAATCCAGTGAGGATGCCTCCACTCAGCTGCTGTTAAGTGGACATACAAGACAAACACCTGAAACATTGTTGAGAAAAGAGATTGTGCATAACACATGCAGAGCTAATTCTTTTTGTTATCCACTGTAGGTCCTCACAGCTGTCCAAGAGTGGAGACTGCCTACTCCAACTGCACCCACAACTCCACCTTGAGCACCACCTCCAACTCCATCTTAAGCACCATCTCTGCAGATGATGACTCTGTCCTCACAGGTGGCTACCGTGTCACGGCATCCAGCTGGATCCTGTAGCCGTGCAGATACTTTCACCTTTACTGAATTCATTTTCTAGATTCAGTTCAGGGTTGCAATTGTGTCAGTGCATCACAATCACATGCTTATTACTGATGGAGGATGTGGCAACTGAGGTCTCAGACACTCCAAAGAGTAATGGAGACCAGGCCCCTCCTGAATCCCATGCAGATGGCAAGTCTCTGGTAGTGACCTTACAAGATTGTTGGAAATGAAGAGTAGGGAAGGGGAGCATCTCGTGAAGATGCTAGAGTCCATTGGAGACTACAATGAAAGATTAAGGAGTCTGCCCAGGTTCTGTCTGCTATCATTGCTCTGGCATGTTTCCTTGAAGGAATAATGGTACTACAGAAACCCAGGTCCAGCATAACACACAGTGGCTGCTGGATACATGCTTGGATATTCTCGCTATCAAACTAGCAATGCACATAGTACAGCAATGGCTGAACAAGAGGGGAATGATGCCCTTCAAACTCCCTCTAGATGCCTCATTTCCTCAAAGAGCCAAGGAAGTGCCATTGCTCAGGGACCCTGGGGCACAGCATGGATGCTTTCCTCAGTAGGCCAGGCTGAGGAGGTGCACATGCCGCTGTGCAGAAAACCCTAAGCAGGTGACCGTTTGAAACATTAACTCTATTTTTCTCTATGGATGCTGCCAGATGTGCTGAGTTTCTTCAGCAATTTCTGCCTTTGTTTCAGATCCTCAGCATCTGCAGTTCTTTGTTTTGTGAAGTCAATGTTTGTTGAGCATCTGGCAGTACAGCAGTTTTCCAATCCTTCACTAGCTAATTTATTGCATGTCTTGCTGGTTTTCCAAAGACAGAGTTTTGTGAGGCCTCATTCCACCTATTTGGAGAATGTGCCAGTGACCGATCTGTGTTTCAGCGCCAATTTAGAACTAGCATCCATTTGGGCTCGCTTGTGCTCAGCATCTACAACTGTTTCCTTCAAGGTGCCCAAGGTCACAGGAATGAGCAGCGTCATACAGAGAGTGTTCTGGTCCTGCTGGCACAGACCCTACAGTGTCGTGTGGACCACACACTTAGCACAAGTGAGATGTGCATTATTATTAACAGGCACATGTACAGGATCACAACACCAGCGGTTTTAAAGTGAAAACATACAATTTAATGCAGCCACTAGGACAAAAGAAGCTATGATGTACACATCCATGGGTGAATCTCGGACTCCCAGCAACCAGAGGATGATAACCCATAGTGTCTGACAGACGTTGCTCTGCTTAGCTAAGACTAGACTGTTAGACCATGAGGTTGTCATGTGCCCATCTGTGATCTCGCACCATTGCCCTGACAGTGGCTGCTGTACTCACACTATCTTATCAATGGTTTCTTCTTCACTTTCCTCTTTGTCAGAGGAGACATCAGGCTCCTCTATCTCTGAAAATTCTACTGCCACCCCACTTTGCTAGCACAGTTATATACAGAGCAGCAAATCTCAGGAGCATTTTCATGCCAAACAGAAGAAGCAGTAATAGATAATAATTAATCAATCCCTCAACCAACAGATCAGACTCAAGCTCTGCAAACCTATCACATACCATCATAAATGCTGATGATGAACTAGCAGGAGGTGCAGGCTCCAAAAATATCCCTGTCCTGAACGATGGAGAGACAGTAAGTTGTAGGAGCAGAAGTAGGCTATTCGGCCCATTGAGTCCTCTCCATGATCCATTGAAATCATACCTCTTCTGATAATCTTCAATTTCACTTTCCTACCTTTTAGCCATAACCCTTGGTATTAGCTGACTCCAATACCTGTGTATCTTTCCTTAGATAAGGGCTCCAAAACTGTTCACCCTACTCCAGGTGTGTCTATCTAGTGCCTTGTATAGTTTTAGCAAGACCTTCAAATTTTCATACTCCATTCCCTAGGAAACAAAAACCAAGATTCAGTTTGCCTTCCTACCGGACTTGGATGCTGGCTTTTTGGGATTCATGCATGAGGGCTCCCAAATCCCTCTGTGCTGCAGCTTTCTGTCATCTTTCCCAGTTTAAATGATTTTTAGATCTTTTATTCTTCCTGCCAAAGTATAGAACCTCACATTTTCCCATATTATATCCATCTGCCAAGATTTTGCCCACTCACTTAACCTGTCTGTATCCCTCTTGTAGGCATCTTCACCATTTGCCTTCTCATCTATTTTTGTGACATTCACAAACTTGGCTATAGTACATTTGCATCTGTCATCTAAATCATTTATATTGCAAATAATTGTGGCTCCAGCACCGATCTTTGTGGCACAGGACTAGTTTCAGGTTGCCATCTTGAAAATACCCCCTTTATGTCAACTCTCTGTCTTCTATTAGTTAGGATAGAATAGAATAGCCTTTATTGTCACGTGCATTTGAATGAGTGCAGTGAAAAATTTGTAATGTCGCTGCTTTGGTGCCATTTTAAAGTACCTGTACCTGGGTACCCACTACCTAAGTGTTTGTTACAGAATTGAAAGAGTAAAAAAAAAAGTTTAGCGTAGGAATACAAAGTTTTAAAAATTACTTGACTTACACAAAGTTCAGAATAAGAACAAAAATATCTTTAAAAGTACTCAAATTATAGTCATTTTCAATGAGTCCGTGCCCACCGGGCTACAGAACATGAGGCCTTGCTGTCTCCACATGTTGGCCTCTGGCCTGGACTGCAGAAAACAGAAGTAAAAGAGAAAGAGAAAGGAAAAGGAACTGGCAAATCAGAGGAGCTCTGGCTGCCACCATCTTGAGCCAATCCTCAATCCATCCCAGTATACACCATGGCATCAAATCTTATTAAATGGTCTTCTTTAGCTACACACTGACTAAACACTCTCACTAGGTCATTGCTACTCTGTCCCCAGTGGCTACTGTAGTATCACATCTTGTCACACAAAGGTAAGCTATAGGACAATTAGAAATACGAGCTTTTATTTACAGCCAGAAAAACTGGATGCAGTATTTTTTTTTGGACGGCATGGGAGGAGCCCACATGAAACGGAACCTCGTTTTCAGCAGCAAAAACAGAAATTGCTGGAGAAACCCGGCAGACCTGACAGCATCTGTGGGGAGGAAACAGTTAACATTTCGGGTCCAGTGACCTTTCTTCAGAACTATTAGCCCTGTCATCTGCTCCGTCACAACTCTACATAAGCACGGGCAGTATTGTGTCTGTGCTCCACCATCAGTCAGGGGTTTACACAATGGTGCCATCAGCCATGGTCACAGTGAGTAGTCCTTGTCCCCTAGAATCCAACCTGGGATCCCTTAGAAGCTGAATTTTCCTATTGTTTAATTTTTAGCATGATATTTTGCCCATTAAACTGACACTAATTCTATCCAGCCTGGGCATTGTCCCAGTCATTTTCCAGTTGCTGTTAGCATCCAGTGAACAGTAAGTGATGACAGGGAATACAGTTCACAGTGGACACAGTTAACAGCGAACTCTACCTGGTCATTAGGTGCCCCACCAACAGCCTCCATATCTCCTTTAACCTCGATAAGCCCATGTCCACTCATCCCCTCTGTAATAGGACCTCCAACAGCAGTTAGTAATGGTGATGGAGCGCATTGAGCAAGGGAACTGAATAGTTCTCCCAGACCTCCAACAGCAGGTAGCAATGGTGAGGGAGGGCAGCCAGAGTAGTCAAATGGTCTCTCACTGGAAAAAGAAGTCTTTGGTGAAAAGAGGGCTAATGAGAATGGACAGGACACAGACTAAGGAATTCCTCAGCCTAATGTAACCTACACAGTCCTTCAATGTGTATCATATAAATAGTTCCTTGTTTATCCTTAATTTCCCTTTCTCTTTGTAATGACCTGATGCTAGTGGAATCAAGAATCCCTGCTTCATGATTATTGGGTCGACTATGTATTCAAATCTCATGATACATCTCCCCAATGCAAAAACCCACTACATTGAACTTTGCCTCCAACTGACCCCCTCTACACCCTGACATTACACCTTAATGATGCTCCACCTGATCCTCTACACTCCCCCAGTGGAGACCACAGTGGTTGTCACCATTAATAACCCCTCTTCCATTGCTTACAATGCTTTCCTGTGCTGTGCCTCTTATAACTCGAAACTCCTGTCCATCACCAGGTCACTGTCCTTGTCCCCAGTCATTACGTGCCTCTGCTTCCCCACCCCCCCAGTCTCAATTCCCCCACCTCCTTTTGAACCATGAGCCCCCATCTTTGCTCCTATGGTCCACTCAACAATCAATGCAATCAATGGACCATGTTCATCCCAGACCTCTTACTGACTTTGACAAGAAGTCCCTAAACATGACTGACTAGACCCCTGACTACTGTCTTTGCAGATCCTTGACTGAAGATATGTGATTCCTCTGACTTCTTCTGTTGGGCCTATAAGACTAAGTATTACTCAGTCCCCAGGCTGTGGTTGGGCATCTCCCCTGATTATCATTGGCCTGTGCAGATGACTGACTGCGGTCAAGCTGCTGGACTGGGTGTGGAGTGTGCCCGTGACTGTCAGTACCAGGATCCCCTCACCTCTCTATCTCTGTAATCTTCCACTTGCACAACTTAAGATAACTTTGCTCTTCAAATTTTGACCATTTGAGTATCCTTGATTTTATTTGCTGGACCATTGCTAGCTGTGCCTTAAGCTGCCCAGTCCCTAAGTTCTAGAATTCCTTCCTAAACCTCCCTGCCTTTTGCTTTCCTCCTTAAAGTGCATCACCTTTAACCAGGCATTAGATTTGCCTTAATTTCTCCTCATGTGACTCAGTGTCAACTTTTGTTTTCTAATGTTCCGAACAGTGTGATAGGACAATTTATTATGTTAAGAACACTACATAAATACAAATTGTTGTTGTCTTTTCAGAGGAATTAACATGTCACATATCAAACTGGAAACAAAGCTTAACACTTTACATTGATGCCAGATCAAAGATAACCTTTTCTGTTCAACTATTTTTCCAATGTGTCATAGACTTATTGAGTCACAAAAATGCAAATTAATACACAATCAAATCATTATTTGTG